GGGAAAGAGCAGGACTCCACTTTGACCTTTCTCTCTTTTATTTGCAGATGACACTAAGAGGAAGAGTGGGGGTGGGTCTGCATCTGAAGAAAACCAGTTTAGTGATGATGAATACAAGACCCCTCTTGCCACACCACCTAACACCCCACCTCCTGAGACAAGCAGCAGTAATGGAGAGAAAACCCCTCCATTTTCTGGCGTTGAATTCAGCGAAGAACAGCTTCAAGCACATTTAATGAGCACAAAGATGTATGAGAGGTACTCGCTGTCATTTATGGACCTCCAGATCATGGTTGGACGAGTGAAAGACAATTGGAAGCATGTCCAGGATATCGATGTGGGACCAACCCATGTGGTAGAGAAATTCAATGTTCATCTCCAGTTAGAACGTCGATTGATTTATACCTCAGATCCCAAATACCCAGGAGCTGTGCTCTCAGGCAACTTGCCAGACTTAAAAATCCACATCAATGAAGATAAAATATCTGCTCTAAAGAATTGTTTTGCTCTCCTCACTACCCCAGAAATAAAGACTTCTGACACTCAGATTAAAGAGAAGATTTTCCCCCAAGAGGAACAGCGGGGAAGTTTGCAAGACTCGGTAATGAATTTAACCCAGAGCATTGTGATGTTGGAGCAGCACACCCGGGAGGTTCTGGTGGAGTCACAGCTCCTCCTGGCTGAATTTAAAGTTAACTGTATGCAGCTTGGTGTTGAGAGTAACGGCCGGTACATCTCTGTGCTCAAGGTCTTTGGTACCAATGCTCACTTTGTGAAGAGGCCTTATGATGCTGAAGTCTCCCTAACCGTTCATGGTTTGCTCCTTGTGGACACCATGCAGACATATGGTGCTGATTTTGACCTTTTGATGGCTTCACATAAGAATTTGAGTTTTGATATTCCAACAGGAAGCCTCCGGGATAGCCGGGCCCAGTCTCCTGTCTCTGGACCCGTTGTGACTCACCTACCTGATGCGACCATACTGAATGACCGATCAGCCACTAGTGTTTCACTCGACACAATTCTCACCAAAGAACAAGAGTCCCTCATTAAACTAGAATATCAATTTGTGAGCTCAGAGTGTCCGTCGATGAATTTAGATAGCACTCTTCAGGTGATTTCATTGCAGGTGAATAATTTGGATATTATCCTAAATCCAGAGACAATTGTAGAACTTATTGGTTTTCTTCAAAAATCCTTTCCCAAGGATAAAGATGATTTGAGTCCCCAACCTCTGATGACTGATTTTGAAAGAGACTTTAGAGAACAAGGAACTTACCAATCTACATATGAACAAAACACAGAGGTGGCAGTGGAAATTCATAGACTGAATTTATTGCTCCTTCGGACAGTAGGAATGGCAAATGGAGAGAAATATGGCAGAAAAATCGCAACCGCAAGTATAGGTGGCACCAAGGTGAACGTCTCAATGGGCAGCACATTTGATGTGAATGGTTCTCTTGGCTGTCTGCAGCTTATGGATTTGACACAAGATAATGTTAAAAACCAATACGTTGTCAGCATTGGGAATTCCACAGGCTATGAAAATATTATCAGTGATATTGGCTACTTTGAATCCGTATTTGTGAGAATGGAAGATACAGCCCTCACTGAAGCTTTGAGTTTCACGTTTGTTGAGAAATCTAAACAAGAGTGTCTTCTCAACTTGAAGATGGCTTCCTTGCATTATAATCACTCTGCTAAATTTTTGAAAGAGTTAACATTATCTATGGATGAACTGGAAGAAAATTTTCGAAACATGCTGAAGAGTGCAGCCACCAAAGTCACCACAGTCCTAGCTACCAAGACCGCCGAGTACAGCGAGATGGTGTCGCTCTTCGAAACTCCAAGGAAGACGCGGGAACCCTTTATTTTAGAGGAAAATGAAATATATGGGTTTGGCTTGGCTCCTTGTCATTCAGACACTGTAAAGCTAATCTTGAACATAAACATTGAATCACCAGTTGTTTCTATCCCACGCAAGCCTGGGAGTCCTGAGTTGTTGGTAGGACACTTGGGGCAGATATTCATCCAGAATTTTGTGGCAGGAGATGATGAATCCAGAAGTGACCGTCTGCGGGTGGAAATCAAAGACATTAAACTATATTCTTTGAACTGCACTCAGCTGGTGGGCAGAGAAGGTGCCGGGTCTGAAGTAAGCCGGGTGTTTGGCCCACCTTCTGGTGCTGCTAGTGCCAGTAGTCAGGAGGAAGCTCATTTCACCCGACATGATTTCTTTGAATCTTTGCATAGAGGTCAAGGTGAGGAACATAAAACTTTTGTTTCATTTTGCTTAAAGATTCAAAACTCAGCTCATGCAGTACTTGGCTTAAAACATCAACAACGGACCAGCAGATGGCACGGTGGTTAAGGCACTGGACTCTCCCACATAGTCAACTGTGATTTGAGTGCTGGATCTGGTGGCTTGCTTTCTCACTTTCCCCCTCTCTAGTGAATTAAAATAATAATAATGATAAATTAGATAATTCTTTAAAAAAATCAACAACAAAAACCTTTTCCTTTAGAACCGTCCTCAGGGGCCAGCAGGTGGCATAGCAGTTACGTCATTGGACTCCCACATGGCCAACTGTGGTTCAAATCCTGGACCCGGTGGCTTGAAACTCATGCTGGGTGCATGTGCATGAATGCCCAAGATCCTGGGAGGAGAAGGGATTGTGGTGGGGCTGTCCCCTCCTGTGGGTGATTTTGCACTTTCCCACTCTGTCTCTGTCTTGCTCCAGTCAGTGCCAGTGCCCTAAGACAAAAACCTCTACCAAAAAAAAAAAAAATTGGGACCAGCAGATGGCATAATGGTTATGTAGCTGGACTTCGCATAGTAGACAAGCCAGTTTGAATCCTGGCTTAAAACTCACGCCAGGCACGTGTGCGTGCATGCCTAAGATCCCGAGAGGAGAATGTAGGAGAAGGGATTACTACATGACCATCCCCCCTGGGGGGTGATTTCTTGCTTTCTGTCTCTCTGTCTCTGTCTCTCTGATGAGCGCATGTGCCCTATAGCAATAATTTCTCTTCCCCCCAAAAAAACTAGTATTTAAGAAATGAAGGCCAGCAGGTATCATAGTGGTTAAGGTGCTGGACTCCCACATGGCCAACTGTGGTTTGATTCCCAGACCTGGGCACTTGAAAATCAAGCCCAGCATGTGTTCATGCATGCCTAAAATCCTGAAAAGAGAAAGAAGAAGAGATTGTGGTGAGGTCATCCCCTCTGGGGGGTCATTTCTCACTTTCTCTTTCTGTATCTCTCTCTCCAGTAAGTGACATGCCTTGTAGCAAAAATCTCAAAAAAAAAAAAAAAAAGAAATCAAGATAGAATTTTAATAGGATGTTTCATAGTAGGTTGATGTATTTTCACCTTTTTCTATAATACTTAATGTTGTATCAGGCAAAAATAAGAGGTTTTTTTGTTTGTTTGTTTGTTTGTTTTTATTAAATGTGTTTCCTTTTGAAATTGGGTTAGTGCTTATTTATAGAGATGCTTTCCTGGGTGGATTCTGTTAAAGTATTGCTTAAGTTGGTCAGATATATCTAATTTTCTTGTTTCTAAATTGTGGATCTTGCTAGTTAAATGAGGTATGCCAAGATAACTCAAGGGGTTGACATAAATAGCATATTATATTTAGTCTGTAACTGTTAGGTTTTGTTTTTAGTATTTTGCCATTTTCTCCTATAAGGTCTAGGGTTCTAGGAATCAAATGATTGTATTTGTGTTCTAGGTCTGATCAACTAACACCAAACAATTTAGTCTGTTAGTCTTCACAATCATAGACATCACGAAAGCCCTAGAGCTTGGCTTTATTTATTAGCGAAGAAAGTAATGCCTTTTAAAACTTCAGTGTCTTTTTCATTCACTGATTCATTTACATGCTTACCAATAGATTGCTTTCTATATTTTTTTGTAGAGAAGTTTTTGCTATCGGGTGCTTGCCGGAGAGACAGAGAGACAGAAAATGAGAAATCACCCAACAGAGGGGATTGCCAACCTGCAATCCCTTCTCTTCCATTCTCCTCTCAGGATTTTGGGCACGCACGCACATGTTCCTGGCATGAGTTTTTTAAGCCACCTGGTCTGGGACTCGAACCGTGATCAACTACGTGGGAGTCCAGCGACATAACCATTATATCATCTGCTGATCCCTAGATTGCTTTCTTTATTGGGATGAAAGTCATCTACTTAGACCCTTGTATTGGTCTTAATTCTGACTTAGGCCTAGTAGGAGTGATACATTTCTATCTTAAAGTTAGGGAAGGATGAGCAATTTGGTTTGGAAAAGGCCAGCTTCTTTTTTTTTTTTTTAAGAGTTTTTTTTTTTTTGCTATAGGGTGCGTGCGCTCGCCAGACAGACAGACAGAGACAGAGAGATAGAAAGCGAGAAATCACCCCCCAGGGGGGATGGCCACACCGCAATCCCTTCTCCTCCAATCTCCTCTCAGGATCTTGGGCACGCACACACACACGCCCGGCGTGAGTTTTAAGCCACCGGGTCCGGGATGCGAACCGCAGTCAATTACGTGGGAGTCCAGTGCATAGCCATTACGCTAACTGCTGGTCCTGAAAAGGCCAGCTTCTGAGGCTAAGAGAAGCTTAATATAGTCTCTGGATTGACTTAATGTTTACCACATCATATTTTAAAACCATCAAATGGAGTATGTGATGAAAATATTTTCTTTTTTACATAAATTTGTTTGCCTTGTGCATCTGTTAAGAAGTTTGGCTTTTTCATTGAAGTTTATTAATGGATAATCATCAGTCTAGCCTGCCCTCCTGGTCTGAGAGTAATCCATGGTCTCTGCTTTAGATATTCTATACTCAATCAGCAAGAATGAAGTCAACGTTAGTGTTCATAGTCTGTCATTTGCTCTATCTTATGCCAGCTTTTCACATCCTGACTGATACCACCATTCAGTTTAAACTGGAGAAGATCCCTATAGAGAGAGAATCTGAATTAACTTTTTCCATCAGTCCAGATGACCTGGAAACTTCTAGCATCATGAAGATTGAAGGAAAATTTGTCAATCCAGTTCAGGTAAACACCTGATTGCCTTTCAGTGAAGGCAGTTGAAGTTATTTATTTTATGTTTCTATTACATGAATGTACTTATGTTATAACACATTATATGTTTATTCGATATTGACAGAAATTTATAGATTTACAGACATATTGTACATTGCTGTCATTGCTAACTTGTTTCAATTAGCAGGGAATCCTTTTATCATGTCATGTTATCACTGAGGAGTCATTCTTGTTGAATCTTTCTCATGTGAAGGAAGTATAGATTGTATGGAGGAAGAAGGCAGGTCCTTAATTCCATTGCCTTTTAGAAACAGGGAAATTATTGCTTCAAAAGTCAGAGTCTGTCTCTCTCAAGAGCATAGAATTCTTGTCACACTTTTGACATATGTGGCCCAGTCTGGGAAATTGTGATTATCTGAGCAGATTCTTTCAAGGCAAAATTACTCTCGCCCTTTCTGAAATGAAATGGATTAGGATAGGGATTTCTTTTTACATATGTGTGTGTGTATGTGTTTGGGTGGTGACTGTATGTGTACATACATTTGTTATCCTTCTTCCTTTAAAAGTGTTGTGTTTTTTTTTTTT